TTCCACTTCAACAGCATCACAGCTGGGCAGCAATTCCCTGAGGGTTTACTTTGTGTATTTTCTTCAGCACACAGTAATCCTAAAGCCAGCACAGCTGACTCCTATCAGATCATCTTGGGGAAAGGGATCCTTGGTGCCAGACTTTCTTCCCCTGCTCTTCCTGGAGTCCAAGCAGCCGTGCAGTGAAATTCCATGCATTCCATGCTGAATCCAATGGAGTCGAGATCTTTGGGGAGGGGAAATCTGAAAGGAAACAACTCATCTCCGGTGGGTAAAAACAGACCTCACATTTGAGGTGGTTCTGACTGATCCAAGTGAAAACCTGGGAGCAACATATTCCTTTTCACATATAGCTTGTCCCTGAAATCAATGAGAATTAACTTGAATTAGCCAGGTACATAAAGGGTAAAAATTATGTTGAATTTCTCCCTGACAATGGAGTTTGTATGCGTGTAGATGCGTGCAATGGCCTGATATCCTGGGATCCTACACGCATACAAACCCATTGTCCCATTTTAAGTACCTGAAATATCCAGCATAATGCTTTTTTTTCCTGGGGCAGTCAGGGTTAATTCCAATTAGTTACCATTCAAATTGTGATTGTCCTGCATAAATGAGCCAGGTTTGATACTGAGTCAAAAGCCTGGGACAATCGGACTCTAAACCCTGATGTCTGCTTTTAACCACAGAGGGACAACGGGCTTGTATGTCTTTAGGAGCCCAGGACAAAAGGCTTTGTCCCAAGAGAAATCCAACATCTGTTTTTACCCAGTGTGATCTAAAAGTTACTGCCAGCCTCCATTTTGGGATTAGCTGTTGCATATCTGCTGTTTTCCCTTGTTCAGTAGCCTAATGGAGCTGCCACTGGCTAGGGGAGAAAAGGTTTCCCTGCTTCACAAGGACTTACAATGAGATACAAAAAAGGAGAAGTAAAAAAACCCAAAACAAACCCTTCCCCATCCTGAATTAGATTTTCCATTCACAGAAATGTGATGTTTTGCCTGTGGAGTTGAATAGATTGGGTCAATTTAAAACAGCCCCATTATAGATTGGGTCAATTTAAAACAGCCCCATTTTAAAAAGTGTTAAATATTTTAACTCTAATTTATTTAGCGTTTGCCTACTGTGCCAGTGTCAGGCCCTGGCACTTCCCCCTAATGCCAGGATCAGAGCCAGCACTGCTCCTGCCCTGCCCTGGATGCTGGGATTGGGCTCTGGGCTGCGATCCAGCCCTCAGGGTTCCCCACTGGTCTGGCAATTTGGCAGCAGAGGAAGCAGCAATTGATGCTGCCACCACTCCTCCACCACCAAATTTTTGGACCTGTGGGGAGCCTGCAGGTGGAGTGACACAGGTAGGTCTAAGAGCTGGGAGTTGAGCTCCGCTGAGCTACATAGTCTGCTTGTGTATATATAAACTCATCTCAAACCCGTGCTTGTCAGGCTGGGGAGCTATGTCATCCATGGCGCTTCCCACAGGTCTGGGAATTTGGTGGTGGGGAGTGGTGGCAGTGTTAATTTGTCATAGCTCTGGTGGCAGTTAACGCTGTCACTGCTGTCCTGCTGCCAAATTTCCATACCCATAACCAAGCGGGTGGGAGTATGAGTAGGACTGCAGTGCTGGGTACGTCCTTTGAGTGTGAATGAGGGGGGAGGGGGTTGGGTCAGCTCTCAGCCACTTCCGTGGTTCTGTCCATTTGTAAATAAAGTCCCTTGGTTAAAACATGACTAATTACTGGAAGGAACCTCCTCAAAAACATACGGTCTGCGTGCAGTGATAAGGCTGAGCTCTGCACTTGTTTGTTTGGTTTGCAGTAAGACATTCCTTCCTGAGCGGGTAAGAATAGTCCATCTCATTAGTACACGAGTCTCCAGAGCAATGAGTTATCTGTTTGGCCTAATTCCACGTACTGCCTGAGCATCCAAGAGGAAGTGTGCTTTATTGGAGACAGGGTCTTGCCTGCTGGAAGGAATGTTACTATTTGACAGGTTATAATCCTAGTTACACTTGCAAAGAACTTTGTTTTTCCTGGCCTAGGGGAATAAAGTGCTTAGGTACGTACTACTGCAGAGGCACCGTGTTGGTCATCTTCTCCTGTCTTCCCATTGCTCCGTTATATAAGCAGGACTAGCTGTAATCAATTATATGCATGGGTAGTCTGCATTGACAGAATATCTGTCCTATTATTCCAGTCCCAGGCAGACACCGAGGAAAGCACCTCACATCTAACTCGCAAGACCTTCTGTTCTGCTGCTGGGACTCGGTGTGTCAGCAGGCTGTAACTCTGACCTCTCTTTCTCTCTCTCATTTCCAGGCACCATAAAACCCTGCTAGTCACCCTTGGATCTGAGCGGCGTTATTGCCCTTGCTCATCCTCATTAACACCTCAGTCTTGATTCATGGCATTTTGTTCTGGTCCAAGGAGTCCTTTGAAAAAGTTTGCTGGTGCCTGATCCTTGTGTCCTACCCAAAACCACAATGCATCAAGCTCATTTTCATGTAGTAAATTAGGGCATAAAAGCTTAATGTGTCGCCCTCCTTTAGTTCCCAACTTAAGCTACTGATCAAATACATTCTTATTAGCTGGAACAGTGACTATCTTCACTAGGAAACTGAAGTAGGTTCTTAACTCAGTAAGACCCTTGCAGAGAAAGGGTGCTTTAGTTATTTCTGGAAGGCAAGTTTAATCACAGGCAAAGAGTATTTCCAGCAGGACAGCTAGCACACGGTGGTATCCCACTATTTTTTTTTAAGGAAAGCAGAGTCTTTGTAATGAAGATGATCTTGTTGTCATTGCAATATCACAAGAACCTCTTACTTTGCAATATCCTTTCATGATTTCATATGCAATTATGCATGATTTGTTTTGGAAATCTTTCATCTGCAGTGCAGTGGAGTTGTCATCCCTGCTTTCCAAGTGCCTGCCATAGCATTCAGGTTATGATGGTGCTGTCAAGCACAGGAATAAATCTCATGGTCAGCTTCCAAATCAAATTTATAACTCAGTTATCTTCAGTTTACTTGGACAGTATTGTAGCAAGTATTTAAAAAAGTAAAAAGAGCAAGAGAGAGAGGGAAGGAGATGAACTGCATAGGATAAGATGCAAATGCACTCGCTCACTCGCTTGCTCACTCTCTATAATTATTTTCTAAAGAAAAATAATCCTTGATTTAGCTCTGGTTCCAGAAAACAGTTCACTTCCAGAGCACTGGGAGAAACAGCAAGTTAATGCTACTAGCACACACAAGCCTTCATAGTGGAAGATACAGATTGGTGGTTTGGGTGTACAGGCACTATAGGGGGTTGCCTGTAATAAGTATTAGACCCAAGCAGTTAGTTCTGTCTCCTTTTTGCATTCCTGGAATCAGTGTTTACACTAAAGAAAATGGCTAAAAATCCCCCTTCAAGAGAGGCAGATTTTTAAGCTTCTTGGGGGATAGTTCAATGAGCATGGAGTTCCGTTGCAGAGCTGACTTTGAAGAACTGATTTCTATCTCAGGTTTATTAGGCTTTGCAAGGGCCGTTTGCTTTTCCAGCTATGGAAGAATGAGAATGCTGTGATGGGAAATCTGTTCGTAGTTTAAGCCCAGAAGGGACCAAACGATCTCTTAGCTGACTTGTATGTCCCAGGCTGATTGGTATTTTCTATTGGAGCAGGAAGAGGAGGAGACGGAGGAGCGGGTCTGGGTACCCAGGAATCTAACAGATCTTCTGATTCGTTTTGGGTGTTGGTAACGTTGGGCGCCTGAAGACTAGGGTAAAGTTTTTTGTATGCTGGAGGGCAATTTGGGGTGGTGGAGCAGCTAGGTCCATGAAAGAGAAAGTGTTGCTACTGGAGTCCTAACCCAACCCTTTGGTTCCTCTCATAAACCAATTGCCTATTTTTCTTCTTTGCTTGACCCAGTTGCTCAAGGATTTCCACTCTGTTTGCGTGCCGTAGCTGCTGCTGCATCGCTTTTAGAAAAATCGGCAGCTATAGTTTTAGGATCTCCCCTTGCTCTTGCTGTTCCCCATGCTCTCTGCGCCTTGTTACACTGTGGGAAAACCCTACACCTGTCCTTTCAAAGGTTATCTTCTTATGAGCGCACAATTCTAGCTGCCGATAACGTTACTGTTGTTCGCTGTAATGTTTTAAACCCTGCTTCTCTTTTACCTTTACCGCACGATGGAGATACTCACTTGCTAGATCATGACTGCATCGCTCAGACAGATCAGGTATTCACCCCATGCTCAGATCTCACTGACACACCTCTAGTTAACCCTGATTGTATTTTTTTCGTAGACGGTGCATGCAGAAGAGACGCAACTGGGCAACTTTGTGCCGGTTTCGCCGTATGTACACAACATGCAGTCATTGAGGCTCCCAGTCTCCCTGGTATCCGGAGCGCACAACCTGCTGAATTAATAGCCTTAACCCGTGCTTGTATCCTAGCAGCAAACCAGTCTGTTAATATTTATACTGATTCCCACTATGCCTTTAAAGTGTGCCATTCCACAGGTCAGATTTGGAAGCACCGTGAATTCCTTACCTCTTTGGGATCCCTTATTTCTCATGCTCCTTTAATTAACGCTTTGCTTGCTGCCATTTTATTCCCTAAGCAGATTTCTGTTGTACACTGCAAAGCTCATACAGGGGATTCTGATGACGTGAGCCAAGGAAATGCTTGTGCAGATAAACATGTGGGATCCAAAAAAAAATTGCAGGTCTTAAAACTTTGATCAGACTTTGTAAAATAAACGTAACTGGAAAAGTATGTACAAACTCTGATTTCCAGGGGCAAGAAGGGAGTATTAGTTCTCGCTTTGTGAACTAACCTTGTCTCCCCCATAATTCCCATCCTGATTTCACTTACACCATGTGAAATTTTATTCGGTAGACCTACGAACGTGGGTTTAAACCCAATCAAAGAGATTAAAGTAGTAGACCTGTTAGAAGGTCACAAAAGTGTGTTAAGTTACTGCAAAGGGCTCATGAAGACTGTCAAAGCTTTATTTCCACAGGTCAGTGCAGCTTTACCCATTCCCACTGATGTTCCCTGCCATGTTTTGAGCCCCGAGGACTGGGTCCTAGTAAAGGAATTTCGTCCGAAGGATTGCCTGCAGCCTAGATGGAATGGACCCTACCAAGTCCTGCTAACCACTAATACTGCTGTAAAAGTTGGTGGGAAGTCTGCCTGGATTCATGCATCTCATTGCAGAAGGACATTAACGCCAAAGGAAGAAGGACAAATCAACCTAGAACCAACCCAGTCGGAAGCAGATCCCACTCAAACTAGAACTGGGTTCAGTGAGGAAGAAGGTCTCCAAGGAACGAGCGCAGATAACCCTCACCTTGTTGAGCCCCCTCACACCTATAACCTTCATCCTAGAGGAACAAACGAAAACATAACTGACAAGGTAACGGATCAAGTGCTATTAACATCAAGGTGAACCAATAGACAATGAAACCCAGAAGAGTTGCCTGCAGAGGCAAGCCAAACAATACCTGCCAACTTTGTTAAGCCCATAACTTAACATAATGAGACTGTTAATATTAATTTTAGTGTTGCCTGCTATAGCAAGTACTAATGTTTATTTAAGGTTCTTGCAAAAGGTTTCCTTAGCCTTAAATGCTTCTGATTGCTGGGTCTGTGGACTCACCCCCAGAACCTATGATGAAGGATTTCTAATGATACCACGGCCCTTAACTTTTATGAACCTGACTGCATGCTCTGAGGACCTCAACCATGAAACTTGGGATGATGCAGAATACCTTAAAGTTGTCCCAGAACAAGGTTATTTTTGTTGGGTCCGCAACCAATCCAAAAAACTAAATTACTCAGTAGGGAATAGTAGTTGTAAGCATTATACAACTTACGACGGCATATGGATGAATAACCATACAGCAAGCAAAACCTGGTGTAAAGGGTTCAAAAATTGGTATACTACCTACAATCAGACAAATAACCGTGCACTTTCATGTAGTGCCATAAAATCGTTTAATGTTACCATATGGGACTGTTCTAGAGCAGACCAAGGACACTGCTATAGAAATGGTACCAGAGTTTCCCCTTCCCCTATGGGGGCAGTGTCTGGTATACATAGTCCTTTTGGAGGCTGGTATGTACGCTATTTTGGAAGTGAGCTTGGAAAACCTGCCACGGAGACAAATACTACCTGGGTAGCCTTAAAAGGAACCTACTGGGTATGTGGTACAAAAGCTTACCACCAGCTACCACCTGACTGGTTTGGGTCTTGCTATTTAGCTTGGTTAACTCCAGCAGTAAGGATAACCAAGTCATTACCCCAAGGTCGCCACAGAAATCGGAGAGAAAGCCCTAACTTGTCAAGTCAAGAACAAGCTGCTCAAGCCACCCTAGAGACGTATAAGAATCCCTTAACAGTAGGAAAGCTGATAGGATGTTCAGCAGCAGAGATAATTCCGCCCAGAACCAGGCCCGCCATGTCCTGTGTGGGAAGATATACGCTGCAACTCCAATCAGTGGCTGAAATTTTAGCCCTAGAAACAGAGACAGCGATAAATAGTTTAGGGAAAAATGTAAAAAGTGTAGCAAAACATGAAGAAAGCTTGCGGCAAATGGTCATACAAAACAGGCTAGCCCTAGACTATGTCTCAGCCTCAGAAGGAGGCGCTTGTGCTGTAATAGGCCGAGAGTGTTGCACTTATGTAAATAGTACCTATAAATTAGTAAAAGACCACATTAATAATGCAATGGTTCATGCTGACAAAGCCGTTGAGGTAGCCTCCATTCCCAAAGACTCTTCAGCAGATTGGTTTCCTTGGTTAGATCCTAGAGGATTATTCAAAGGTCTGCTTGGGAAAATAATGTTTGCTTTGTGTATGGTTTTAATTTTAGGGTAAGTTTGTATGTAATTGTACAACTAACTTTGTGTTGCATGAAACTGTGCGTTAAAAAGGCTGAACAAACCATTTCTACCATTTCTAAAGAAACGGTTAAACAAATGATGGTAGAATTTAAAAAGAGCGAAGTAGAACAGGAAAAACTATGGGCAGACCTGCGCCAGATAGAAACGGAGTGATCCTCCTTTGGAAGGATTAGAAGAGGGAATGAAGGAAAACAAAATGGATCCTAACCGCCATTATGTGTAAGCGAGCAGGTCACATACTAACTTGATGATTAAACAGTTTTCTAAGGGCATGACCTTGCAGTTACTGACTGGTTTAAAATAGATTTTTTTGCAGTTAACAAGTTGAAGACATGCGTAAAGTTGTCTGCACCATGGCCAATGCTGATTGGTGTATACTGTTGCTATGTTTATGGTGTCATATCTTCTATATTAACCTGTACCGCCTAATGTATGGGGTCAGACCTCATCGCAAATTCTGAATTTGTGTATGACTGTCCAGAATGCATTCTTTAATAAACTGAGTTGTTAAACTTTGATTAGCCTGTTCGTCTGAGCCTGCGCCCAACGAACCCGGGGAAAAGTTTTTCCTCAACACTCTACTGTGCACTGGTGAGGCCACATCTGGAGTACTGTGTCCAGTTTCGGGGCCCCCACTATAGAAATGATGTGGACTAGTTGGAGAGAGTCCAGCAGAAGGCAACAAAAAGGGTTCAAGAGCTGGGGCACATGATTTATAAGGAGAAGCTGAGGGAACTGGGTTTATCTAGTCTTCAGAAAAGAAGCCTGAGGGGGGATTTGATAGCAGCTTTTAACTACCTGAAGAGGGGTTTGAAAGAGGATGGAGCTAAACTGTTCTTAGTGGTGACAGAACAAGGAGCAATGGTCTAAAGTTGCAGCAAGGGAAGTTTAGGTTAGCTATTAGGAAGAAGTTTCTCACTAGGAGGGTGGTAAAGTGCTGGAACAGGTTACCCAGAGGTGGTGGAATCTCCATCCTTGGAGATTTTCAAGGCCTGACTTGACAAACCCCAGCTGGAGTGATGTAGTTGGGGATGGTCCTGCTTTGAGCAGGAGGTTGGACTAGATGACCTCCTGAGGTCTCTTCCAACCCTATTTTTCTATGATTCTATATTCTCAGTTTCAGCTCTAACTGATCTCTGATACTTTGGAGGAAGTCTTGGGGAGAGGGAGGATGCAGAAACAGAATACATTTGGTTGATTCAGGGGAAAAAATATTTCTGAGCCCCGCAGGCAACTGATGAGATCCTAAAGTCATGACCAGGTGCCTTTTTAAATATTGTTCATATCAACACAACGAATTATTATGTTTTAATGCACACAAGGCACACCTTTTTAAAACTGCTGGAAAATGGAGTGCAGATTGTATGCAAGGAAAGATGGTAACACCAATTTCTGTGCTTAAAAATCAGCAGGGCAAAAGCGAAATAAGATCTGCATGGAATCCAGAGGGCAGGACTATGAGCAGGCTCAGCTCCCTCACTGCTGCTGCTCAGTGACTACAAAGACAGTAAAACCTTGTTCTGGGGCACGTTGTATGTGAGAATATATGGTAGCACCCTAAAGTAATAAGAGTGGCCAGTTTCAACCTTGCCTGTAGCAAGGGCTCCTGCAGCAGCACTGTATTGTTGCTTTTCCGCTGGGCTTTTGTGCACTGAGGATGTGACATAATGCGTGCTCATTTGTGTGCCTCCAAAGGAAACAAGTTCTTGGCAAAAACAGCATGTTCTGCAAAAGCCCTGAGCCATCATTCTGACACCGCGTGAGTGTTGTGACATCCTCAGCATGAGGAGGAAGAGATGCAGCCGCTTCTTGGAAAAAGCTGCTGGGTTGGCAAAGAGAAGATCTGACATGAGTTTTTCTCTCTGGTGCAACAGTGTTTGTTGTAATCATCACACACGGCATGACCAACAGTCTGTGGTGTGGGAGTGGGACCTCACTGTTCCCTGGAGGGACAGACCTGTCTCAATAATCTAGAACTGCTAGGGTAACAGCTGGACCCGGCTATCCTCACTACAATGTCTTATTAGCTCTGTCCTCTTTTAAGCTACACACACTTAGTATCTGGCAATGAGCTAGAAATTCCCACCCAGGGATCTCTGCAACTTGAGTGGCTTTTCATTGCTTGCTATTTTGCAATCAAAGCTGTGCTCCCTGCTTCGAGTTGTGACATGTTCATTGTCCCTCTCCACTGAGGTGCCCTGTTAGCCTCTGCTTCCTCTGTCAGGGTCTCCCCCACACACCAGGAAATCTTCAGACTACAAACACAGATCTCCTCCCAGGGTCTAGTTATTAACATTCACAGCTGGTCACAATCCAACTCGATTCACTCTTACAGGGCTCACCAGTACAGTCCTTTCCCTTGCGTGAAGGGTTTTGGGTTTTTTTTTTCATTTCCCTCATTTCATCACAGGCTCCAGACCACATTCCCTTGTGTCAGGACTCTAGCAGCTCTGTAGTTTTTAAACATCAGATTAAGTCCTTCCAAAGCTTCATTTCTAAGCTGATTTTTTAATAGTTTCTGCTACTTGAAAAACAGTCTGTCTTGCGCCAGTCCTTCCTAATCAAGTATTAATTTGGGAAGAAATTTGGTAGAGCTGAGGAACCTGGCCTGCTCCCCTTTGAGTGGAATTGTTCCAAATAATTTTGTTAGTCCACATCACACTGCAAGTGCTGAGGAGCCCAGATGGATCTCCAGTCTGTAGGGTTGGAGTGGAAACCTGTGTAAGGATTCAAACAGATTCCCCATATAATAGCAAATGTAGGTCTCCTGAAAAGTGATATGGGACCCTGATTATTGATCAGGCCAGAAACACCATTTAATGTAAAAACCAGACGTGATCACGAAAGTTTCCAGGGACCAGTTTGCTTTTGAAAATTGCCATTTCATCCAAATTGCGACTATGCAAAAAATGTTCGTCCCAGTGTCGTTTTTGAGAAGAAAACATGCTTATTTAATTTTTTACTTCATTGTTGTTGTAAATTTTGCTTTGACTCATTAATTCTGTTTTATAATATTTGGTATTACATTTTATATGTAAATACGGTATAACCTCATAAATCCGGTTTTCAACATTCCAGAATTCTCAAAAATCCGGCACTTTTAAAAAATACACTACATCGGAGGGTAGCAGTGGCTGGTCCTGGAGTAGCGGCCAAATGCGGAGCAGCGGCACGGGGTGGTGGATACAAGCTTCCCCCTCTGTGGCCGGCGGGGAGAGATAGTGGCAGGTGGTTGTGGAGCTGGGGTGGGGTAGGGAGGGAGTAGTGGCGGCTGGTCCTGGAGCAGCAGCTGCACATTGTTTCAAAAATCCAGGATTTTCACATTTCCGGCAGGTGCTAGGTCCCAAGGATGCCGGATTTATGAGGATATACTGTATGTAATACATTTTTTATCTCAAGTATAATACGAAAGTTTAAACAGCATCGATGTTTTTTAATTCATTTTTTTTCTTTCAGAATGAAACACTTCGACATTATTATCACGCAGTGTTAGGATGGTCCAGAATTGATTTCCTTCAGAACTTTCATTTTGTGGGAAATTTTTAAAAAGTGTTTTGCGTTTCTTGTACTCCATCCCAACTCAAAATGATTTATTTTTCTTTGAAGTGTCAGAGCTGTCAGTGAATTGGAAAGGGTGGTTTCATATCTGCTCTAATACAATTTTTTACAAGTACTGTAACAAGAAATTCTCCCTCCTATAATTGTTCTAGCCTGTGTGTGTTCTGTATACCTCCCTGCAGATGTTTGTTAGCTGCTTTAATGTATTTTTTGTGCAGTGTTCTGGCTCAATAGACAGGGTGTACCAATGTGAGTGGCAAGGCAATCTGAGTGTGACTAAAACAGGAAAGAAATTACTACCTCCTGCTAATCATCCCACACACTGGCAAGATAAATGAGTGCTTGGTGTATTGCTTGGAACTGTGCAGAGCTGCCAGGTTCTAGGGGAAAATGGATGAATGTGGGTGGGGAGGTGGGGAATGAAATAGCAGCTTTCTCTGTCTCCAGTGCTTTGGAAGCAAACATTAATGGAGCCTCAACTTCACCCCAGGGAGCTTGGTGTTATGCCCACTTTACAGATGGGGAAGCCAAGGTACAGAGTGATTAAATAATCGAGTTCTTGCAGTGTTGCAGGTAGGGTTAACATCCAGCCGTTCCTGACTCCAAGCTCTTTGACTGGTGAGCATGAGTACTAGCTTGAAGCCTGAGCCCACAGCAGTCAACAGGGTCAGGTCAGGATTTCACCTTGGTGTTTAAATGCCTCTGTATGTTCTGCAACTGGAGGGTTTATATGTATTGCTCTGCAGTACATGACTGCTGTGTCCTGAAGTTCTCTGTCTTGCCTGATGGCAATCAGGACCCCCGGGTCATTGAGGATTGGCCTAGAAATACACTGCATTAGCATGCAAAAGAGCTCTCTGCAAAATCAACTCAGTGCACTCATTTCCAGAGAACCACAGTGAAGGACTCTTGATTGGGTGGTATCTTGCCCTTTACTGTCCCACCATGGCTCCTGAAACAGCTCTCACCAGCAGGGATTGAACTGGGACTTGTGAGTCTCAACATGAGATTCAACTAAAAGACACAGCTCTGTTAGACAAGGCTGTAGCACATAAGACCATGTCCCTGTGTGGGTTGTTGGCAGGGGGTTGGATCCTGGGGCATGAGGTTCTTGTAGTGTGAGGCTACTGCCGTGAGGGACTTGTAGCCACAATATAGGGGAGGGCAAAGGGGAAAAAGGTTCTCAGTGATTTCCTAGAGGATATGAGTGAAATAAGTCCTTTTATTCTATTAATGCCAGGAGACTGTTCATTCCTCTTGGTGTGCTGACTTCCCAGAGGTCCTGCTGACTGAAAGGAAGACCGGGTTTCTAATGGATGTTCATTGTCTTCTGGGAAGTAATGAAGCTCAACTGGTCACGGGTGAGTCTCTCTCAGTCTGGTTCTGTCAAAGCAAAGAAACGATGATGGAAAGAAGGTTTAAGATAGCCTCCATTACCCTCAGTCCTGAGCCTCGCAAAGAGTTGTTCACAGAAACACAGAGTTGGTTTCCAGGTCTTAGCCCAATGGAGGAGCTCTTGCATCCTCTGTACGTGAAATGGGGATTGATGTGTTCAAGTTCTATGTTAATCATTCAAGTCTGGGAAGAGGTAGATGCATTTGAAAACCTGGCCCATGGTGTTGCCTCACCTGTGACAAATGTGTCAAACTATCGAGGTCTGAGAAAGGGTTCTCTAATACCCAAACACTTGCTTATACCTATACCAGCCATACGGTTGGTCCAATAAAAGACAACACCCAGAAGATTTCTTGCCTCTTACATATCTTAGCATAGCATCACCTCAAATTATCAGGGCAAGCCTGCCAAAAATAAAGCTGGATTAAGCTGCCCAGCATCTGTAGGTGGGGTTGAACAGTTAGGCGGTGCCTGCTTCTGGTAGGACTGAGAGATGAAGGGTGTGTGCTGGCCAAACAATGAGCAAGGGAGCTCGGATAAAGGAGCAACTGAAATGATTTGTTGTTTTCCTCAATTTGAAGCACCTTCTGCAATCTTCCAATGCCCCCACCCTCCCCCTTGTGCATGGTAGGTGCTACCATCAGTGTCTGCAAGACACTCTTACTGTCTTCCTCCAAGCATTTCTCTGCAGGGATGCCTCCAAAACTTTTCACAATGGTCAGGCAGCTTGTGGGCACTTTTTATCATACTGACTAGTGTTGTCACACTATTTCCTTTTGCTCCCTCTTCATCTTTCAAACTTAGATGGAAAGCTCAGCAAGATGGTGACGGTCTTTTCGTCTATCGTGTTTAGCACACTGAAACCCTGAACCATGACTGGGTGTGCAAAGCATTGGCACCTTACAGCTGAGGGGTTAGGCCTAACAGACAGATTGTACCACCCTCAAGGGGAGAAGCTCCCTACTCCTTGTACAGCCCCAACAGCCAGAGCATTTATGGAGTCAGCCATCAAAGCTGGGCTGTGTGACTAAGCAGGGCAGATTTTGACCCTTAAGAGAGCTGAGGCTGGAATCCGGTTGCATATCAGTGATTGTGAAAATCCTTTGCCATGTTATGCAAACTTTTGAACTTTGAATTGGAGGAAGAGGAAATATATACCTACTCCTCTGATTTGCACAGGAATGGAGAGCATGGGGATTTAGGCTGTGGCCCTGACTGTTAAGTAAAGTATACAGCAAAACAGCTGCTTGGTGTCAGCTTTCCCTCCCTCTGCCCATCTCTGTTTAAAGAGCTGTTGTCATGTGGGAAGCCTGTTGGCCTGACTGTGACAAGCAAATTGCCTTTCCTAGATTTGAATGTGAATCTTCCATGTTTGAGATTTTCTCCATTAATTTGCTGAAGCAAAAAGCTCCCAGTCCCAGTTCTGGAGCCAGGGAAAAGGGGTTCAGCTTTTTGCTGACTTGTGCTCCAGCCTTCCCGCCCTACTTTTTAGTGAGCCGCAGTGCTTTTCCCAGCAATGCTATTCACCTCCCAATCAGTTATGCCTGCAGTAACTTAAGTTGGGTGCTCTCACAGTGGCAAGAAGACGGAGTGACAGTACCTGAGAGGCAGCAAAGTCTTGAATAAATTCACTGGAGACAAAATCATGAAGATGCTAGAATTGATCCTACTGACACCAGGCTAGATTTTGCTCCAGCTCCAGGACATTAGCTAAGTTGCTCAGAAACTTTGGGAATAACCAGTCCCTGCCTCTGATCCAGACAAACCATTTCTATTTTTCAAATAGAGAAATGACCAGCTTAGCCTGGCGTGGCTGAGCACAATCCTGCCCCACCCATCTCAGCTGTAAACTGATCTGATTTCAGTTCCAGACCAGTTGCTCTCCAAAAGGCTTTGCCAAAGAGCACCATCCATGGGTACAACCATGAGGTGTGACTTCAGTAGTGAGGACTCAGAGGCTTGGGCTTCGTGTGTCTGGTACTCAGGTTACCTGATGGGCTGCTGCTGCTGGAGTGAGTTCAGATGTGTCCTCCTCAGGTTGTACTTGCATCTCCTGATCGCTGTATAGTCTTAGTGCCTGAGAGGGAGTGGGGAGGAATGCCCTGTAGGCAGGGCAGTAGGAGGTACACATAGGTCCTTCCTGGGGTCTCCTAAGGGAGAGAACAGCTCTGAAGATGGGTATCAAAGATACCTTCACACAAACCCCTCAAAGTTTTCTGTTACATTCCCCCATTTGCCTCCACCTATTACCTCTACCAATAAACAGGAGTCTTTCTGTAGCCTCCTCTGCCACTGGTGATGCTAACAATGAGCAGCAGCCTGGGTGGCCAGAGATGTGTCACTGCATCTAGGTGCTGAGCTAATGTATCTGGTGAAACAAAGGAATTTGGGTCAGGCTTTGTGCTTAGGAAAGTTGTTAAAAAATGTGCTGAGGCAGTCTCTTGGGACTTCCTAGGTGAGATTTCACCATCAGTTGAGGGGAGTGATTTTTCACTGCCTCTAGTGTTACCAACATACTCTCCTCCTGCTCACCCACATAATGATTAATCACCCTAGAGAGAACCAACTGCTCTCTGGGTATCATAATTATAGTTGCAAGGAGCATTCCCCTGGCGAAGGTCTGGTGTGTCAGAGCTTTAAAAAATAAGATTCTGAGATGATCGGCCCTTCAGCTTTGAGAAATGAGTGTACCTGCAGACCTGCACACACACATGGCCATGGAAGTCACATGTATACACACATCCACAACCATCTTATACATATGTGCTATCATAGAGATCTTGTATGCATGCAAAAGCATGGGGCTGACACACACGTACTTGTCCATGGGACTACAGAAATGGGCCTTTAGCTAAATCTTAAGACACATGTTTCAGACTGGTCCAGTGCTCCAGTATCTTTTATAATGATGAAAATTATGGGATGAGGCAGGACTGGCCCCAACTTGCAGGAGGAACAAAGTTCAGGGCCCATCTCACTCTGTGCTAGCAGAAACTGAAGGGACAGTTGCTCTCCCCCTCCCCAGTGCATTGGTTACACAAATTCCATGCATACTAAGATCAAGATCAAACAGCAGTGGGGCACCTTGGAGGAGAGAGAAGGGCAGGTCAAAAGGGATCAGCACCTGATGAGCATCAGCAGCAAGAACTGGGGCCTCTGTAAACCACAGATGAATCCACTTTGCTTTAGAGCTGCTTTTGTTCTCTGACCAACCTAGCTATGCCTGTAACCAACCAGCAGCAGAGTTCTGTGCTTCCAGCTGTCTTTGCATTGGCTTCAATAAAATTAAAAAGACTTTTCCTCCCAGTAACCAGGATTGACAGCACTTACTTTGCCTTAAAAATGTGTAGCCAAATAAAATGCACACATCTGCAGTCCAGTGAAATCTAGGCTACGGATCAGCTCCAACCCACTGCAGGGACTTATACCCCCAAGACACAGATGGAATGAATCCTTGGCTGCATACGCAGCAGAAAGTTTCAGAGCTTTCAGGAAAGTCTGCTTAGTCCCAAAACAACACAAAGGCCATTCAGCAGACAGGTGAAGAGGCCAGTAAAGGGGGCTATAGTCTTGGGAATCGAAACACACTTTTTGACCTCTGCTTGCAACACAGTCTCTTGCCTGTGCCCTAGAGGCCTAGACAGTCAACCTCTGTTCCACAGTATCACTGCAATATAGTTTAACCTTTAATTAAGGATCAACTTCCACTCAGAGGGTGCTTTTAGCAACTCCCTTGAGAGCTGCTTTCAGATTCCAGGGCTTGTGTAGCAGTATTGTCTTTCAGCAACAAAACCAAGATGCTGTAACAAACTCCACGGGTTATAGTTCTCCAAGCATGCAGTGCAACCTCAGCACATTAGTGAGACTCTCTCATGTCTCTGGTCCCAAATGAAAGTCTTTTTTGCGGCGTGAAGAAAGCCGGCTGCCCCAGGAAAGTCTTTCACAGATGCTAGGGGCTGGAAGGGACCTTACAGATCATGGGGTCCAAATACTGGCTTCATTTGAGCTAATAGAAGGAGGCCAGTTGTATTTGCCTGAGTGAGGTGCTAGGTGCAAAGGACAGAAAAGGTTTAATGTTTTGTTGGTTTTCTTTTAAACTCAGGCTCTGCAATCTGCTGAGCTTGCGAGCTGGGCATTCCAGTGAGATGCCATCAGGCTTAACTTGACAGCAATTTCTTAAATATTTTAAAAGCTGCCTGGAATAAACCGAATGCTTCTAAGTGACCTAAATTCCATTAGAATGCTATAAATTTCATTAGAAAGTGCACTTGTGTGCCTGCCAGGAATGAGCCACTTCAGGCTTTCATCAGCCTGTCCAGGCCCAGATGCTTTATGAATGCTTCCTCTAGCACATTTCAGGGAGTGTATCACCACATGCTGCTGCTGGAGCCAAGTGACTTGCTCCTTTGGGCTTTCCTCCACCCCTTCCCAGTAGGAACTGCCCTGCTTTTTTACTAATCGCATAGCACAGGGGTTGTCACCCAGAGGTATGCATACCCCTGGGGGTACTTGGACCAGTCTTAGGGAGTATGTGTGGGTGGGCGGGGATGGAACGCTGCTGCCGCCTCCCAGGAGCAGGGCCGGAGTGGCGAGAGCAGTGGCGCCCCTCTGTGGGATGGGGAAGCTCGCACGTGGCAGTCGCTGCTGCCACACACCAGCCCAGTGAGCTCCCCCCACTGCTCGGTATCCGGCCGCTGGGGGTACTTAGACTAAAAAAGGTTGAAAACCCCTGGCAAAGCAAACCAGACTGGTGTCAAGTCCTCATCCCACTAGCTATGCAGAAAGTGATACACCAGCTCCAAAAAGATGTAGTTTGTGTTCAGGTTCTTTAGCCAATCTTACATACTTTTTCTCTCTAATCCACATCCATTGCCACCTGCTTTGGGCATCCTCTGTGGAACCCAGGAGAGCTAACTGTAACTCCTGGCAGTTACCTTTGCAAAGGGCTTTGAGAGGACGTCACCAAAGTGCTGCACAGGCCTCCAAGAAGCTTCTTTTTCCTCTCCCTAACCCCAACAAGGTAGTGCACCCCATGCTGAAGTCCACGTGGATGCTACTTACTTCACTGCTAGCATTACCTGTGTCATTGGGATTAAACCTTGCTTGGGCCTGCCTACTTGTGCCACAATCACACTTTCACAGACAGTGCAGACAAACCCTCCTAGTCCTGGAAATGCACAGCTCAGTTTTGCATGCTCTGTGTTGACTGCACCTTCCTGTGCCCTCTGCAGCTTCTGCAACATGTAACTACCACCTGTCTCTCTAGAGCTGGGCAGATATTTTCACCAGTGGCCTCAATTTTGGGTGGTCCTGTTTTTAGATACCTATTGTTAGACGCCTGTAGGAGCCAGATTTCCATACACACGCAAACGTGTTCCAGTGCCTTAAAATGAGAATTGCATGGGTGCTCTGCACTGTAGGCATCTCCAGTTGGACCTTCAAAAAATGCAGGTTCCTCAAATTACAAGCTGCTTTTGAAAATACTGGTCTATGCTGGTGGCATCTATCAACTAATTCTGCAAATGTCCAAAAGATGGTCCTTCACTGTTACTACTTTCCTGGGTTGGGTTTGAACTGGCAATCTGAAAAGGAAAGGTTGAATCCTAGCCCCTAGACCTGTCCAGTGCCCTGAGAGTCCTGTGCAGTTTGGGGGTATATCTATGTAAAATTAGATATTCTATTTTGTTTGGGGAATATAATTTATTCCTATAGCTCACCCTGTGGATTCCTGTAACAGAGGTTTGACATACAACGAACAGACGTCCCAGAAGATGGGATGGAGCAATCAAGGACCATTAACAAGGAACAGCTCTTCCTTACTGGAGCAGCAGATTTTCTAGCAGCAAGGCCCATGACTTGGAATGATTCTCTGTATTTACAGCTTAAATACTTAAGTCAGAGCTATCCTGCTCACCCCAGCTGGCAGCACATGGCCAAGAGGACAGAGTTGTTTTGAAAGGCAAACTTCTCTGAGCCAGAGGCATTACTTTCTATCCCCACGTGCAAGAACCAAGCCCTGAAGGCATGATGGAGAGCAGCCTTGTTTAAGGCTTGACTCGGACTTGAGGCTTGGCAGAGTAAAGTCAATCTGTGGAAGGCTGCACTGAGGAGTTGGAGGTTTTCTGTAGATCTGCAACTGGCCCATAGCTTTTTCAAGAGTAAACTTTGTGAATGGTGAGCCACTTTGTTCCACAGGACTGTTGGCAAGATGCTGCCCTGCTCTGACTGGGCAGCTTCCTAAAACAGGAAGCCAACAGCAGCATCTGCCCTCTGCTGCAGGCAGGATAATTGGCTGCTTCACTCGGCTGTGCTGCTCAGCCCTCTTGGAGCCCCATCTGGACATGGCTACGCTTCTTCCCAGCATATGCTTTATTTGAATTTTCCGGGTCCCAGCACAAAACCAACCACTCTGCCAGGGATGTTTGCATCCCTTTGCAAGCAGCTGCAAACCAAAGTGAGATAAAAGCAGATGGTTTCAATAGCAGCCTCCCCCCTCCCTGCTCTCCCAGCAGATAAAGAGATGCTGCTTTGCCTCTTCTGTACCAGCACAATTCATTTTCATAAGCGAAAGGAGCTTGAATTACAGGACGGCCTTACTGCCAGACAGGTCCGTGTTAAACTAATATCCTGGATGCAGGGCCCAGCTGTGTGTCAGGTGCCCAGAGAAGGATGAAATTATTTCCCCATCAATCTGACAGGTAGCATGAATTCTCTGCCTGCCCGTTGTCTCTGATGGGGTTATTGTTGGTTTCTTATTTGCTGCAACCCAAAATAAATTCCCTGCGAGTTGTCTTTGGGGGTTGGGCTGGGTGCTCTTGCCTAAGGCAGGCAGTGTTACTTCAGTTATCTAAGCTGTATCTTAGGCTGGTTCTTAACTCAAGATTTAGTTGCTTGCTATCAAGTAGGTGGCTTTGTCTTGCCTGCTACCTGCAGAAGAGAGCTTTTTGTTTCTTTTCCTTGCCTCTAACCTCAGATGGCTTGGGGCTAGGAAAGCCCTGTCAGTGCCCCTCTTCCTCTTGTGTCCTTGGAGAGGTGACTTACAAAGGACACCCAGTGTTTTCCTGCTCCAAAGGATTTCCGTGCTCAGTGTTTTTAATGAGAACATCCCTTGTCTATCCAAGCAGTTTTGATTGTATAACATGGAGAAAGGGAAATGGAGCTTTTTTGGATGACTTCCATCTTGGCTCCAGGCAGGAGCAAGACAGTGCACTCAAGTCATGTTGGAGGAAGACAAGTAGGGAGTATCTGTGTAGCACAGTGGCAACGCTGTGTAAAGATAGCCATGGGCAAGCTGGCTCATACTGGAGCTTAAATGGTGCAAAGTGTACCCAAGTAACTGCACACAGGAGCTCAGAAACCAGCAGTATAGGGACAGAAGTTACACATAAAATAGTATAAGTGATCAGAAACTGGTTCAAATCTGTAACACAACAGAAGATTAGTGCACATAAACTACTTTCAATATAGCCAAAACTGGTTTAAAAGTCACTCCTACTGCTGCAGTCAAGGCACTGACCCCAGTAGTTGCATCCCTGAAGTGCAGGGCCTCACTACAGTAGCTCCCCTGCTTCCAGTTGTGGAGCTAGCTCAGATACCTTGTTATGGTGCTGCTTTGCACAGTTTCGACACCAGTTCCCGTCAGTTGTTGCCTCTGAGACCCTCTGTCTGTGACCTGACCTATATCATTAGTGCAATCCACGCTACTATTGTTTGTGCTTTCCCCAACAGCTGGTCAGGTATCGCAGGTCTGAAAATGTGCCTTTAAGTACAACTAATCCAGACAGCATAAAAGCAGCAATTTTCTGCCTCTGCCACTAAGAGTTTGAGAGAAAAAATGCAATTTCTCACTATCTCCTTCCGTTTGCTATCTGATCTCTGGCAAGGGAGCTAGATGGGGGAGGATGTTTTCTATATTTAGCTTTGGAGAAACTGTTATAAATAATCAGCTTAGGACACTGTGCTCTCTTTCTTTATCTTTTTCTTTTTAAAATCCTTGTTATCTGGCTCTAGGCTGCAGCATGCCAGCTTTCAGTCTGTGCTGGGTTTTTTTTTCTTTTCATGGAGTCAGTTAATAACCTGTTTTTAAAAAAAAAAGAAAAGCGTACCTACAGCTGTTCCATTTGCAGCTGCCAGGCTCTGAAGATCATTACTGGCCCTTGGAATCCAAGTCCCTACTTTGCATGTAAAAGTGCAGATGAATAGGAACCAGGCTGAGGAGATGGCTGCTCCTTCTGCAAGAAGAAAAGGAATGTGATTTAGGTGGCTATTTTTAGCCTTTTCAAGCCAAATGTAAAAAGACCCTTGAGCATCTTTTGTCCTGCTAAATCTGATCATATGCATGATGTGGTTCCTATGGTACATTTATCCCTAGGGCTTGTCTGCTGCTATGGGTCAGCTTGAGTTACATCACGTTAAAGGGACTTGCATCCACAAATTTGATTTTTGTTGTTGTTGTTGCTGCAAATTATCTGGCATTTCAACATGTCTTTAGAAGTAGGTTTACTGAGATGCAAAATGAGTTTACCTGCAACTCCTGTGCAGCTGTGAAGTTCTTCTAGGGCAAATCCCTTAGTGTTTTGCCTGCTACCTTACCTGTTTACCCTCTAACTGCTCCAAGGTCATCCTGAATGGATGCCACCTTTAAATGCTGGTCTTCTGTTGTTTTTTTCGAATTCCAGTTTGTTGGGACATCACATAATCTGTGTTTCAGTGAGATTCTGCACAGAGGTCTGGAGCTTCCCTCTCCTTCAGGGGAGAGGATCATGTGATGGCCCACCCAAAGTCTAGTCACCACAGTGCACAAAGGGGTTATTTGAACCCCAGCCAGTGCCCTATTGAGGCCTGTGAAAGTGTGGAGGACACTAATAGGATCGCTGGGAGAGCTGATGGGGTCTGCAGCTGCTATGAGGAACCATACCATATGTTTGCGAGAGATCCCTCTTCTGAACAGCTGCTTTTTATGGACTGCCAGTGCTGATCAGGATAGAGATTAGAAGGAGACTGATCTTTTTCAAACCAGTGAATCCAGAGGCAGATGCAATTCTGGGACCATATGAGCTCCTGAACTGCATGTAGAGGGTCCTTTAAGATCAAAGGATGAGACCCACATCGTGGAAGGAGCCGGTTCCAGTCTGTATTGGACGTTGCATCATAATACAACTCTGTGGGATTTAAATAGTTTAGTTCAGGTTACTGTGTGGGCAGTAGTACCAGGATGGTGGACTTGTCTCTGTCTCCAGGGCTTTTAACCCCCATGCAAATGTACAGCCACCACTGAAGCTTTCTGGGTCTCACCTCTTGGCCACCAGCCACAGGATTCATTGTTTTCTCTCTCCTGCTCAGTAGTCCCCTTTGTGCCAGCCAAGCCCCTCCTTAGCCAACTGGCCGGTTGACAAGGAGGTGGTTTGAAAAAAATGTGTTGGTTTTTATTACAGCAAAAAGTATAGAAATGAAAAAGCACTAAAATCACTCATCTGACTTGTGGTTTTATTAATGACCTCAGCTCTTAATCAGCATGAAGTATGAGGAGGTAAATTGGCCAAGTTGTGCTACACAAATACTGTCTTTTAAAAAAAAAATCTCTTTTTAAAATTGTATTTATTAATAAATCCAATTTATCAAATAACAGATAACAGATTTAACATTTAAAGATGCATCTAATCCCATAAAATATGCAGTAATGTTAGTCCTCCATCAACAGTGTTCCCTTAATCCAGGTCAACGTCCAGGGCCAGCCTGTCCTATCCTGCAGAACCTGAGGCCTCAGGGGGCCCTGCAGCCAAGGGACCGTGCCCCGCTTGCCCCCCGCTGCCTGCGCCATGTTTAAAGGGCTCAATGCAGGCAGGGAGCCCCTTCCCAGCCAAGCAAGGGAGGAGTTCCCAGCTCTGCTCTGGGTCCCCGAGGAGGGATCCCAGGTGTCCCCAGCGCATGCTGCCCCCACCCCACGCCCCCAGCAGTGCAGCCCAGCCCCGATTAGTTTATTTCCATGAGTTTATACTGCAATTAACTGCAATTTTGATTTTTCAATGGATCAGAGAACCCCAAAACTATATCTTGCAGGGGTGCCCAAAAATTGTGGGCTGGCCCTGTCACCATCCACAGGAATCCTGTACTTTTCTTCCTTTCAGTCAATGACAGTTTCATTGTTTCTGTTGATGTTAAGCTTTTGTATTTCTTCATCCTCATATAATTTACCCCTCCCCCTTTTCCCCCTACAACTCTACATAATAGACACACAGTTTTTAAATAGAAAGATACTTTAAAGCAATGTATCGGAGGGGCACTGCAGAAGTGTATGCATCTTGCAGAGCACTTCCCGCCGGTCCATGTTAAAAAAGAGATCTTAAGCCAAAGAGTGTTCTGCTTTGGCACGAAGATTGCGGGGCAATGTAGGTCTCTCAATACTATGCAGATGGGTAGTGGTTCCTCTCCACTTCTGTGTCCACTCTGAGTGCTCCATCTTAACAAATAGCGGCATGGCACATCTTTCCACTTTGCCTGTTTGAAAAAAATCATTTTTTGTCTTTTGGACACACCTTAAAGTACCATTTTCCAAAGTAAGGACAGACTGCAGGAGTGTGCATACCCTGCACCCCTGATCCCCATCATTCCATTGCCTTCCACGAGTATCTCACATGTGTAGGGTAATGAAATGCCAGGATGCCTACAGCAGTGGAGTGATGCATCCTATGGTGTTTGCACAGGACCCTGTTTATCTCAGCACATCACAGTGCCCTGTGGCCTCAGTGAGGTCAGGTGAAAATAGCTTCATCAAGGATAACAATGCAGTGTGAAATCACAGCTCACTGAACAGTTGTTGTAGATCATTTGCCAAACACAGGAGTCTCAAGGGTATATCTGCCCTTAGCTAACAGGAATTACTATCTCACAAAAAGCCCTACCATGGTTTAGTAGTACACATTAACAGGTTGATGTGAAGACAGCATTGGAATCTGTAAATGGGAGACTACTGAAAAGCAAAGCTTCCTATTTCATACTTAAACAATATTTCAGTGCACTCCCAAGAATATTTTTCTGGTTTATTTCAGTTTGTCATTTTTTGCCCCTCACCCCCGCAAAAAAGAAGCAAACATCTTATTTCATCTTAATCTTAACCAGAATTTTGAAGATTCTTCCAAGAATGATCTGCTGTTTTACAGCAGTAGACCATCTTTTGAAGGAACAAAATAAGCAAACAAAATGAGGTAGGACTTTGTATCTTAGTTTTGGTAGATCCAAAGAGCCATAAACACTGGGAGAGTTTGGATCTGGAACCAAATCTTAATTTAATGGCAGGGGCCCATTATTGCCATCCATACTTATTTAAGAGTGTATGATAACAGAGGAACAGACAGATGGTAGACAGATTGAAATCAACACATTCCTGCACAAATTGGCTGTATCTAACAGAAAAGGGCTGGATGACGGTAGCGATTATGCTTTAAAAAACAAAAACAAAAAAACACTGGTTTAGATCTGGATGCTGGTTTAAATGTGATCCAAGTTGGTTATGACCAAAAGTGACTGCAACATAACAACTATTCATTGACTTATTAGAAATATTTAGCAGTCATATTGAAGCTAATAGCTAACATTGTGAAGATAATAAGAACAACTGCTGACAGCTACAAGAAATACCAGGAACTATAGAAATCAATTATATCCTCCCACCCACCCCTAGAGGGATGGAGCCAAAATCTCTACAGTGATTTCAGTGAAGTTATGCCAGTTATGTCTTCTAGATCTCAGAAGGTATTTTTATCCACATAATGTGTTCTGACCTCCCCAACAAGGAGGTCAGATTGCAACAGAGGATTTTATTACATGGCATCATACTTAACATTATTATATGTGCAGAGTTTATCCTATGCACTCTCCAGGTCCAAGATGAGGCATGTTAGTGTCATCAGTCTGGACAAACTTGTACAGAGGCTGCCCATGCTGAACCAGATCTGTGAATGAAGGACACATCCACTTTCCTATGTTCTCTGCCTAGCACTTTTCATGAGCATTACACACATTTGAGTCTGTAAGGTAAAAAAAAAAATCAAAATCCAGTGAACATTTCCCTACATAGGATGCTTTCCCTTCAGGTTGTTGCATCTGCAAGTGTGTTATATTTTTTGTACATCTTTCTTTCTTTAGTTAAATAATCTCCAAAACACAGGATTCTCATGGAGCACAGCTTGGTACTTCCCCATGATGATGAAAAAAAAGGAAAGAGAAAGAGCACATATGACAAGGAAAGAGATTGCCTTGGACACAGGACTGGAATTTGCAGAAAGCTTTGTGCTGATTCCAGTCTACGTGCATTTATTTCCAGAGGCTTGTGAATAGCAATTAGATGTACATTTCTAAAGTGTTTTCTAAGGAGATCCTTAGATGAAGGCTGCTAGCCAAAATCAAATCTACACCGCCTTTTATCATGGCATAACTGTTTCAATTAGGAATTATATTTTATTTATTTTATTTTTACTGAAATAGGTACATAGGTGCAATTTCTAATCTGAATGTTGTTATACCAGCATAAAGAGGCCTTTTCCTCCCTTGTATGAGAATAAGCTGTAGGGCTAGGGACATAGGCAGACAAGGTTCCTTGGGTGAATTTGATATCTTTTATTAGACCAACCCAAATAGTTGGAGAATATTTATTAAGCAAGCTTTTGGGTTCAAAAACCCTTCGTCAGGCTAAGGAAGTTTCAGCAGTTGGTGTGTGCTCTTCCTGGGCTAGGGACAGACATTCAAAAAGCCTGAGCCTGAAGTGATTCAATCTTTGCTGGTTAATCTAACCTGCATAGCTTGAACCAATTTGGAGGTGAGTAGACATTCCCTTTTCATTTCAGAAATGCAGGCACATGCCTATAGTGACTCAGGCTAGAAGCCGGGGGGCACTAGAGCAGCCCTCCCTTCGTTTCCACAATACTGAACTGAGGGGGGGCATGGCCAGGCCCCAGAAGGACATTCTGATTAGCACACGGGATGACAGGAGGCTGCCACTGCCAGCAAGTGACACGAGTTTTGCTTTTAGCAGTTTGAGGTGCAGTTTCCCAGAAACCCCTCTACCTATCTCTTTGAAGCTTGGCATGCTTCATGCCCTCTGAAAGGGATACCACCCCTGCAATTTTCATCTGTATCAGGCATGAAATGACAAAATTATAGGCATTTTCATGATTCCCCATTATAGCCTATGAGCGAAACATCGCAACACAGCAAAACAATTTAGATGAAACGAAACAGAGCAGTGCTTTGAAATGAAACTAAACGAAACACCGTTCCTTTGAAATGGCGAAACAGAAGTGGAAATGAAACGGTGCTGTTTTGCATGGCCCTAGTGTTTTATCACCCCATTTAGAAAACAACAGAGGGACATGACCAGTAGGGCTGTGTGAAATTTCGCCAGCCGTTTCATTTCGACATTGTTTTGACTCATTTTGAGGTCGAAACAGCAAAATCAAAATGAAACAAAGGTTGTCAAAACAGCCTCGAAACAAAACGAGGCTAGTCAAAACGTTTTGAAAGTTGAAATGTTTCGACTATAGCGCTGGGGATGGGAAGTCAGTCCAGCTCGGCTGACTTCCCATCCCCAGCGCAAGATCCAGCCCATCCCTGGCCGATCTAGCAAAACATCGAAACAGAGTCAAAACAGCCTTCCTGTTTCGATGAAGCAAAATGGAACAGCTGTTTTGAATTGAAATGAAATTCCATACAAAACACTGTTCTGTCCAAACCTCAAAACTCAAGGTGAAATGGAATGGTGTCGTTTCGCACAGCCCTAATTACCAGCTACCTGTTGATTCTGCCTTTGTCACAGCACGGACTGGAGCCAGCATGTGGTCTGCTAGCTAATACATAGATACCTCTCAGCAAGGCTGAGGGGAGGAAGGAATTCCTGTTTAGCAGGGAGTGGGAGGTGAGGAAAGCAGCCTGAAAGTCTCTGCTGAGCTGCAGCCAGGGAGCAGAGGGAAGGGGCCAGCCCTGCTGTGGAGCAGAGAGCCCCAACCAGCCCAGAGAACATGCTGGGATGCTGGGGGACTCTGATTTAACTGAAACAAACAAGGGGTCTGGGACAGACATTGCATAAACTGGTTTGAGCCAAATCAGTTAAGTCTGATACTACGTTCAACCAAGTTTATCTCAAACTGGTTTCAGCCATTTTCAAAGTGGTTTATGTGCACTGAACATCTGTTCTGTTACAGGTTTAAACCAGTTTCTGATCACTTAAACCGGTTTATGTGTAATGTTTGTCCATAGCCTAGAGGTGTAAGAAGCTTGGAACCAGTGCAGCGTCGTTCATATAAGTGGGGACATATCACTTTAACTATACCAGTGTAGTTAAAGCAGTATAACTTTTGCCTTGGAGGTGCAATCCAAGTCCTATGGAAGTTGACAGAAAAATTACCAGTGGCTTTGGTGGGAGTTGGAGTGGAGCTGGATGTATTGGATATTTTAGTATCATACATTATTAAGATGGGACAGTTTATTATTTCCTCACCATTAGAAAAGTGTGCAATACTATATAGGTCAATTGAAACATTTTTCTATACCCTAAATAGCTTACAAACAAAAAACCTGCATTAATGCCCATTGAAGTTGACTTGGTTATTTCTATTGCCTCCAGAGAGTGTTTGGAGTGGTCACTAGAGGCCTGACCCACCAACGGTATGCCCTAGCATTGACCCTTACACCTCTGGGCAATCTCACTGACTTCTTCCCTTCTTCACCTGCAAACCTAGTCACAAAGACTTCTCCAGTAGCATGACTAAGCGCTCTGCTGCCGCGGTGTAGACCGGGGTGAGAAAAGTCCAGCCCATGAGCTGGATCGGGTCCGTGGCTGACTCCATTTCCCAGTAGCCCCTGCCCATGTCACTGCAGCTGGTTTCCATGGATACCCCAGAAGTGGCAGGGCCATGACAGCATGGGTCCAGGGTTTCCATGGAGATCAGCTGCAGCAGCACTGGCAGGACATGTGGCTGGGCTGCTCTGGGGCAGGGATTTTGCAGTGGTGACAGCATGGTCCAGAGCTAAGGCAGACTGCCCATACACCCCAGGCAGGATCATGCAGGCAGCAAATCGCAGCTCTGCCCCAGCTCTGGACCACAGTGTCACCGCTGTAAGATCCCAGCCCCAGTCCCAGAGCAACTCCCCACACCCTGCCAGTGCTGCTGGGGCTGGTCTCCATGAAAAACCTGACCCCACGTTGTCATGGCCCTGCCGCTGCTGGGGTCTCCATGGAAACTGGCTGCAGCGATGTGAGCAGGGGCTTCTGGGAAATGGAGTGTGACCGCCAGCCAGATCCACCATTTTGTCCACCCCTGGTGCAGACATACCCAGGTAGACCTTTTAAGTTACATGAGGACTGGATGGCCTGGTAAGTGGTAAGTTGATTTTCATCTCTACAAAACTAACACCAGCGCTCCAGCTGGGAATGCTCCAGGTCGCTGCGTCATCTGACGGCCCTTCATAGAAGTATATGGAGGGACTTGGCTGTCTCAGCATTTCAAAGGAAACAGTGCCCACACCTCTAAGTCACCACTGTTCCTGGGATGCTTGGGCACTGTGGTTGGCAATTACAATATAGGTGCTAGCGGTTTACACACACAGAAAGTTAAGTGAGCTACTTCCTCTGCTCTAGTGTCCCTAGAGCTTTTTCTTCTTGAGCCTCTGTCCCCCTTCCCCACCCCTGCAGCAAGCTATAAAACCTCTATGGCCCACTGGTGCAACAACAATTGCTCAGCTCCCCAGCCCTGCCCACACAGCCCTGGTGCAGTGAGTGGAGCTTGGCAGTGGGGAGCCGCGGGGCCCCACTCACCTGAGCAGCAGCAGCAGAGAGTCTTGCCTGCCCGCCTGCAGTGCTACCCACAAGATGGAGGCAGTGGGGCGAGCCCACCCTTACCCCTTCCTAAGGTCTCATCTCGGCCCTGGGGGGCCAAGGTAGCTCCTCCATATGCTGTGCTGGGCCGGGGAGACCCCCTGCAACCTGCGCATGGCCCCCCAGCAGGCCTCAGATCCCCAGTTGAGACTGCTGCTCGAGGCAATGGAAATGGAAATTGATGCAGCAGCATTGGGAAACTGGCACCATTTCCACCATGGAGCTGTCAGCTAGACTTCCAAAGCTATTTAAGTGACTAAGGGTGCAGGTAGGCACTGGTGTATTTTTCAAAAGCATCTAAAATAGTTAGTGTCTAAATCCTATAGATATTGGTGAAAATTCCTCTGGGATCCTACCTGCATGTTAAGGCATGTAGTCTTCAGCACAGCTAGCACAGCATCCTGCATTAGCACTCATCTCCCCACATAATTGATAAAATCTTCATCCAGACTTTTCCTTTTGCACCACAAACTGAGTAAATCTTTCCCTTTCCACTGCAGAGCAAGTTTATCAGTGTCCTATGCTGATGCTCAAGGAGTGAAATCAGATTAAGTGTGTTGCTGATGCCACCAATATTAATTTCTGCCTTATCAACCTCATGAGGGCTATAAATATCTCCTGGGAGTGAGGGAATCAATGTTGGAACTGATGCTCCATCAAGAGTATAAGCCAACCCCCACTTCTTATGTTTTCCTTAGTTACAATGCCAGCAAACCTCATACTGCTGCTGCTATCCCTGTGCTTTATGGGCAATGGCATGAAATTCCACATTGAAGCCACTGTCTGGATAGCTTTAGACTCTGGGGTGAAACCGTGTGCAAAGGCTTGCTGTACTCGCTGTGGTCACACACTCCGTCTGAGTCATAAAAGTTATGAATCAGGACTCAGTCCTGTATGCTGATACTGCTGTACGTAAATTTTAGCCTGCCACTGGTATCTGCCCTCTGACGTAGGCTGGTGGAGTCAGATTACTGGCAGCTGAGTCTGGCTGGCTGGCTTCCAGCTTTTGATTCAGTCTTCCCAAAGTCCCTTAAGAACAGAGGAAAAAACATATTCCTAACAGGTTGTGACACCAAAAAACAAAGTGTCTTAGGGGTTTGGGTTCTTCCAAGGGCTTTTTTCTATACCGGGACACTTAGAAAAGTATTAATAATGGTATGAAGTTGATGCACATGTTTGAACAGGAGTCATTGAGTTAGTGAGCAAAGGCAACTTAACTTCAGAATGAGAATATTCTCTGTGGTTTAACATACTTTAAATTACGTGTGTTAACCGTACACTTCAGGCAAAAGGCCTTCCTGACTTCAGACTAACACAGTTAACTACTTCTCTCTCTGTGTCTCACATCTTTAGTTCTTAACTTTGCTAAGTAAAACAAGCCCCTGAGACTGCAATTCATAGAGTTCTCAGTCATGAGAGTGCTGGATAAATATTACTGTAATTGAGATATGCAGAGAGTTATTAATCAGGAGTGTGGTGCTGGGGAGTCAAGGGATCTTGTTTATTTTAGGTTCTTCCACAGACTCTGTGGCCACATCCAGACGAGTGTACATGTGAGGTTTGCGGTGCTGCAGACCCATCTGTGCCGCACACACAAATGGTTGCCGCGCTGCTAATTAGTAGCATGGCAGGTTGTTTTTTACACTGGGAGATCCTGGTGTCAAAAAAACCCACACCAGAAAAAGGTGAGGTGGTGCACATGACAGCAGCGTGTGCCACCTGAAACCGGAGCCTAGCCAGTCAGAGCCATGCTCCAGCTGCCATCCAGGCTCCATGTACCCAGATTGCTGCTTCTGGAGCCCCAGGAGGCCCTGAGGACCCCAGGTGCTGGCCTCAGCCTCCCTTACCCCACCCGGAGCATTTTTCCCCATGCTAACTCCACATGCAGGGGCATGCACCAGGGCAAAAAGCAGTGGCACAAATTTGTACCACTGCTTTTTTCCCCACAGCAACCACATGCTCCTGGTTGTGGGGACACGGCTTGTGTGTGCATCCTTTAACACTTGCTTAGCCTCAATTTACTTGTTATAGTAGCATTCTTTCTCCTTTTTCAAATCCTTCCCAAAAACACATTGCCTTGAGGCTTAAAAAATGTATATATCCCTTCCAGATGACTTAATTGCATTCTTGAGGTGTATCGACATGACACCATTTGGGTGGATCTACATGGCCCAATATAGCGCTGCATACGGATGTGTACGCCGGCTATGAATGAGCTGGTCTGTCTACATAGCACAGTGGAAAGCAATGCAGATACTAACTTAGGTTACAGGAACTGGAGTTGCATCAGCTCAGTACTCCAGCATGAAACTTGATATGACTAATTTGCCCGACTAGAACACCATGCTAATGCAGCCATTCTGCTTCCAGTTCTAGAGCTTGGACAGTCAGAACTAGCTCCATATCTGTTCCAAGGAGCTGCATGGAGCTGTTAGACGTACCTTTTAGGTGTAAACTTTTTGGTCCGTACTTGAATGAGAATAGAATCTCCCTGGGGCATCGACCATATCTTAATACTGGTAATGTTTATCAATAATAATGCTTGTTTTACCTGGGAAAGGAGTTCAAGAGTAGAGATTATTTTATGATGTTGGGAATTTAAAGAACTAGGCTCTGATCTCAGTAACATCAATGTAAATCATAACCCTACTGATTTGAATGGGATTACTCAAATTTAGAGAGCACATTCAAGATCAAAACCTGGTAATTTATTTTGTAGCATTTGCATTTACTTGGCCTTTAGCAATTAGCATTTCATCTATGAACAGTCTTTTACTCTTGACACTTTTTTTTCTCCTATTGTTACAATGCAGCATCAGCAGTGATACAAATTGCTGAACAATAAAAAGCAAAGTATGCTTAAATTCCTATCCTGACTATGATCTGCAACAGATATCAGGTCCATGGGAGCTGAAAATTCATGGATTTTTGTGGAATTTGCACTTAATATTACTTTGGCCTTAGGTGTTTTATACCTTCTCTTTGACGCATGCCCAAAATATCAGTTCCACGCTACTCCTAGACAAATTCACTTTAAGGCAGCTACCAGCATTGTCATTAATAATGTATCAAGCAAGCACCAGTGATTCTCTTTGATATCCATGATAATATTACCTGAAAACAGAGTAACGGGACTTGGGTTGCATAATAAAGAACACATTGTTGAAGAATGCTATTTGGGAAATGTGTCCAGATGCTGACCTTACATAACTTCCACGGGGCTCATCTTCCTTTATCTCTAATAAGCTGTACTCTAAGTTCTGAAAATATTTATCATGTCATACTTTTATACTGCATCTTCTTAACTTCAGTCTTTTTATACTTTCTTACAGATAGAAAGCCATTTCTTCACAACCTTCTGTGAGACGCTTCAGTGTGTTGCTGCTTCCTTCACACTCCTTTGAAAGACTCAATTATGAGATTCCCATAAGAAATGAGTCAATAATACTATAAACAATAACAGTCATAGTAAAATATACTTTTTAAAGCCTGATAATCTTTTTCTTGTGTTGTCTGTTTTGTTAAGACCATAGGCTCTTCGGAGCAGGAGCTGTATGCCAAGAACAATGTCAGCATTTAAATAATACATTAATCATTCTTTCCTCTTTTGCCCGACACTCTAATTCCTTTTAAGAAGCCATCTTGATGAAGATTTTTTCTGGTTGATTTTTGAATCAAGGGAGTTGGGTAGAACGAGGAGATAGGCCAGTTGCACGAGAATGTGATATTTCGTCCAAATTCAATGAGGCAAAATTTCTAAGTGAGGAGACCACGCAGTGGAATCTGTGTGGATACAAATTCCAAGTCCTATGAACACTAAAAGTGATCAAAAGAGTTATATTACACCCCTTCAATTTGAGAGAAGGATATTAGGAGACAGGAAGTTGAGAAAGACCTTGAAAGGCAGCAAAGTCTTGTAACACAATATGCTAGGTGACTTCAACTATAATAAATATAGAAGTCGAGACTAGCCAAATGCCACAATGGAACAAGGTTTAAAGCTGCAATTTGCTGGCATATTTAAACAACTGCTTCTTGTAAAGGCTAGCTTCAGAGAAGACATGACGAGAAGCTAATCTTGATAAAGTCCAAATAAACACACAGATGCTCATTCAAGAAAAAAAACTATAGCAAAGCCACTAATCAACACTGGCTACATCATAATTAAATGTCAACCTCCTTTGCGTAGAGATTGTACCAGGAACAAGAATGGTCTCACTTCACTTCAGAAAAAGTAATGAACCCCACCCCACCCCCGGGCAAATAACAGATTCTTAAGTCCAAAGAGAGGAAATAAAAATCCCTGGACAGCCTGCAGGTCACTACATATCCCACAAGAGCATCCCAGAGGAGATGAATAGAAGGAGGCCCCTAATGCCTAATAATTGTAAAGAACTTTGGGTGAAAAATACAATCAGTATAGAAAACATACTTTCTTTGTCTCTTGTGTTTGGGTCTATGAACTGCTCAAGTCTTCAGCCATGTGGATTAGTGTGTCACAGCCATACTCTTTCTGGATTCAAAAGAACACATCTTTTATATGGAGTCCTCCTTTAACACAAATCATTTAGGTCACTCTGCTTGTTGGGGGAAAGATAGGAGAGATGAAAGCCACAGTCACTCAGCATCTGTTACACACAGTGGTCTTGGGCCAGGATTGGGGCCCACTAGGCCACCTACTGAAGAAGCATGCTTAGAGAGGGAGTTTGGATTACCCACAGGGGTCTGTGAGAGAGGAAAGGCTGGAGGAAATTTCTCCTTTTTGGTACCTGAGTTATTTGGGCATAGGTTAGTGTCACACCAAGGTTGGCACCAGACGGAGAGACGCAAGAGGTAGCAGGATCACTGCCTGTATTCTCCATTGCATGTGAGCTGGTCATGCCTTCTGCCAGTTGTACTGGTGAGAATCAGAGCCATGCCTCTTTCAGGGTTCAAAATACAGATCTTTTATTTGGAGCTTTCCTTTAACATCAGATATTCAGGCCACTCCGCCTACTATGGTCAACAAAGGAAATCAGAAGAAAGTAAGTTTGCCTTCTAAGTTCAGGCTTCAAAAGTTTTTTCAGCTTCTTTCAGTAGCAGTAAGTTGCTTCAGCTCTTGATCTCTCTCAGCACCCTCAAACTTGACTCCCTTCCTGTCCCCAGCACCCCTGTACCTTATTGCCAAGCAGATCCCTCTAGATCTTTGAAGGGTCTCTCTCTGCACCCTGTCACAGGTTCTATACACCATTTTTGTTTTAAACTTACATTAAGATAGCTCCTGGCAATCCATACCTGCATAGCTTGCCAAACTCAGTGACAGCTGGTTAAAGAGACAAAGAACCCAGGAACATAGGACTGGAAGGAGTCAAGTGAGTCATAGGGCATTTATAGACATGCTCTGGGAGGCAGGGGGAGCGCTTTAATTAGTGAGCTGCGCTAATTCAAAGCATCCGAGCGTCACATGAAGAATGGTGGTGGGGTGCTTTGAAGGAAAGCTCACTGAACAAGCTTTAGTTTAAAGCACCTTGCCGCCATTTTTTCAGTGTGGGGATGCTGATACATGTGACTCGAGGCTGCTGGAGCACAGTAATTTCTACTCAATAAATCAAGCCTGCTGCAGCGCTGAATTTACAGCATGTCGGAGCAGCCTCACTGCTCATCTATAAGAGGCCACAGAGTCCAGTCCCCCTGCAAACGCAGGCAACCATGTAATAGACGTTAGGTCCAAAAACTCCAGAAGAACATCTGCTCCAGCCACCGTGCACATTACAAGGTGAAAAGAAACACCTCATACCCAACTTGGATATTTCAGCACAAAGTGAAAACAAAACAAAATAAAAACAGAGACCTAATTATGTATCAGGGGAGAAAGGGAATCCCTTCCAGGCCCTGACAGGCAACTAGCATGGGATTTGTTAATTAAATATCAATACAGTGCATTGAGACCTCTAAGGAGAGAGGATGAATAGAGGAAGGGACCTGATATGGAAGTCTCTCAACTCCCAGCACAACCTTCCTTACTTCAGATTTCGCTAGTGCATCTCTTGTTCTTGCATTGCAGTTGCTATTAAACAAGTCATTCAAAGAACAATTTTTGGGTAACCTCTCTCCATCCTGATAACTCTACTTTAAGCATAACTTCTTGTCTCCCTGTTAGCCAGCTCCTTATTCACCTTAGTTCTTGTAAAAATCCCCATCTTCTCTACCTTAAAGGGAAGGATGTAACAGAAAAGGTGCTGAGACATTTCAGTAATGAGTGCTTTAACAATGATTAATGGGTGAACTGTGTGTGTCCCCCATAAATCATCTTGGTACTGGAAGAGCATTCATCCTATCGGTAAATGTAATAGTGGTGCCAAATTTGCCTTCCTAGAATTTCATTTTGACCCCAGCAGAAAACTGAAAGTCAAAGGAGAGTTTTATGTCTTTATTTCTTTTTTATTTAAGAGGACAGGATGTCTTTAAGAGTCAGGATGTAACATGTAAATCTTTTTATTTTTTAGTTGAAAAACATGTTTGGGGCCTGAATTGGCTGATTCTGTGTCAATAGCCTACCATTGAGATCAGTGGGTTCTGTCCCCATGGAACTTCTTGTGGGTCCAAGGCCTTAGATGTGTTCGGGTACATTTGTAGTGCCTCCACAGTGATCCCAGGACCGTGGCTGAAAAAAAAAAAAGCCTTGGCCACTCACTCCTGCTCTGCTGTACAGGACAGGTTGTGCTGTGAGGTGAGAGTATCGTCTGTACAGTAACTATTTCTACAGTCCACTTGTAGGATGCTGAAAAAACATTGCATAGTTGCTATTCTACCCTGTGCACAGAGTACTGCCGTTAGGAACGTGCTGAGGAATAACCTTCCTCGGCAATAACCACCTGCCAAAAAATCAGCTACCTAGCGTTTTATAGCAAGTGGCACGTGTGTGAGTAGGCAGACTCTTTCTAGCTTTGGGATTGTCATAGAAGCAGGAA